TTTCTATTTAAACAAAATCAGATGTTCTCAGTGTCTCTAAATAAAAACCCAGAGGTGGGACAAATGTATGTCTCACCGTTGAAATGTGCACTGATAACGTATTGTGGTGTAGAGGACATTGTGTTTGAATGTTTGAATGTTTGAAAGTTTGAAGGTTTGAGTGTTTGAATATTTGAATGTTTGAGTGTTGATAACATTAGATGCATGTAGGATAAATAGGTTTCATTAAAATTGAACAAGACAAAAAATGCTCCACCACTAATTCACCAATTGAGATGACAACACCTTTCAATTTTGCAAATGGCACATCCCTATATGTCCTATCACCTTACATACATGCGCAAAAGCATGCCCCTGTTCTGCCACCTACTCTACATGCAGGCCTATCCCACTCCAAGTTGAATGGCGCATGCTCTCTAAAATGCATGTAGGCGTCATTTGACTTGGCTCCCGCATGACACGTATCATACATGCATGCAACCACCAACCACCTCATTAATTCACTCTTATACGATTTCGCTTATAAATATGGCGCTTGAGAAACTTGTTTTGCACCACTAACCATCTCACTCTCTGATACAAACTCTTTCATTGTCTTATACAATTTCAAATATGGTGCTTCTCACAATGGGCGATTCTCACAGAGACACAAAAGACAACATTGTGGCGTTTGTAAGTTTCTATAAATTCTTAAATATTCTTTTATATTAACATATTTTTTATAAAATTATTATTCAATTAGTCATCTTATGGACTCTTACACTATTTACATTTTGAATTTAGGATGATAAAAGATTTAGAATTCGCTCACACAACTGCATTATTCCCGACCCGTTGATCATGCCCTATCTCAAATATGCGAGTTTTGGAAATGTTATAAAAATCTCAAACTGCACGATTGATTCCAAGTTTATACCTGCAATGTTGGAAAGGTGGAGACCCGAGACACACGCATTTCATCTACCAATAGGTGAATGTACCGTCACACTAGAGGACGTATACATGTTATTGGGTCTCCCTATCGATGGTAAGGCAGTTAATGAGTCGGTTCAACAACTCAATTCTCTATATGAGGAATTGTTGGGCAAAGATATGGTAGAAGGTAGTGGTGCTAAAGGCCAAGGTATATTACTAACCGAACTCAAAAAACATTATGCGACTCTCGAGTTGAATGAAAACCCGTCCGAGCTAGCAAGAACATAAAAAGCTAGAAATTATATGATGATATTATTTGGAAGCTTGTTATTTCCCGAAAATACAGGGAATAGTATAAATTTTATGTATTTAAGTTTGCTTAGGAACTTTGAAAAAACAAGAAAGTATAGTTGGGATTCTGCTGTTTTAGCCCATCTATACATTTCTTTGTGTAAAAACACAACAAAGGACAAATGTACTTTTTATGGATACACTTTCTTACTTCAAGCCTGGGGTTGGTGGAGAATGGAGTCCCTAAACCCCGTCAACAATAATGCATTCATTTTCTCATACACAACAAAGTAAGTCAAGAACTTAAATAATTTATTATTCATCCTTTCGCCAAATAAATGTATAAAATTAACTATTTTTTAATTCCTTTAGGTACTGCATAACGGGTATGGATTACAGCAAGAATCTAAGATTCAATGTCGCTCTATATCGTAATCTATTGGATCACCTTGACCCGGATGATGTATGTGATACCTTTGAACTTTTCTACTTTTAAATTATTTATTTTTTACATTTTCATTATTTTGGTTTAATTGTGTCCACAGTTTATCTGGAGACCATATTTGGGTTTAGACCATGAATTAAACCTCGAGGATGCAGCAGTTTGGACTGCAAAGACTACAATCACACGGTTCAATATTATGGAGATGCACCACAGCGACCGTGTCAAGATGCAGTCCAGAATGCATCAAGGGATACCATACTATCCAACTTATTTGTCACCCTGGCATCTCAAAAGGGTCGACGCCCAATAGGGTCTTACTAATTGGAAAGATTTTGCTCCAGAATGGTGTAAGGTGTGACATAGGCGTCACCAACATGTCTTGTAATTATCTGTTTTCCTCAACCAGAATAATATGAAACACATAGATCAATATTTTGATTGGTACAGATCGATTAGTAACTCAGAAATGCACGTGTCTCATTCGAGGTATTTGGTCGACCCACAAACACAATGGGCATAAACCTCAAATCCCCAACAACAAATCCAACGCACATAAATTTCCCTCCAAACACCACGACGATACAGATCCATAAACACCCAACCACAATCATCACCTCAATACCAATACACCCATATGCCTCACACTCGACCACAATCACCACCTCAATACCAATACACTCATATGCCCCACACACAACTCCAATCTCAATCGCAATACCAATACACCCACATAGCCCACACACAATTCCAGTCTTCTCCACATCTCGATGTGAACCCCTCATCATCTCACCTTAACCTAAATCTAGGCTTTCCTGAAGAATATGACCCAACCAATCCAACTTACCATCAACAACCACATCACCATAGCACCCAACAATCGCAATACCAAACACTCCAAGATTCATTTCCTTTTTATCCCCCTTACTCAGACGACCAGTTCTATAGACCACCCATGAAACCCCACCCCCACCAAGACGATTAAACTTTGAGGGCATGGGTAACCGACTGTACCAAAGCGGATCTTTAAGATATGGTGATCTGACTGATTTCATGGATCCTGAACGCATTGAATTCGCTGGGCCATCGACCTAACCGCAACAGGAAAATCGACGAAACTCACCACAAGATATGCGAGGACGCGAATGTGGAACCACGAGTCGTTACCGAGTTCCAGGGGACAACTAAATAATATGCATGTTTTTTTTTCTTTATGTAATTGTTCATTTGTTAATGAAAGTGGAAGTTTCATAAAGTTATATCATTTACTTATTGTCTCGTATTTAAAATAGAAAGCAAAAAAAATTGCCTCTTAAATACACTTAGGTGCCATCTGAGATGGCTTAGGGCAAACATGTTGTACCTAGGTGCCATCTCACTTGACGTCTCCTTCTAAAATTAAAGTACATGTGCCATCTCACTTGACGCCTCCATTGTGGTATTTTCTGAAACATGGTTATTTGCGTAATTTTCTCCGAAACATGATTATTTGTGTGTATTTTTTTCAATACTTGGTTATTGCTAAAAAAAATCTTAAATATTTATTTCATATTTAATTTTTAAATTTTTAAATTTTTTTTTACTAATATTAAATAATAATATAACTTTTACATGTAATAAATATGTACATAATACATTAACATCATATACTATTAAATAATTATTAAAAAATTTAATATATGAGATTTGGTTTTAACAAGGAATATCAAAACTAATAAATTTTATTAAATATTAAATATAATATAATATTTTTACTAATATCATGTAATAAGTATTTACTTATAATATTTTTTTAATAATATTAAATAATATTATATTTTTACTAATATCATGTCATAAATATTTATTAAATAAATTGATAAAGTGAAATAAAGTCAATGATATAAGATCATTAGGCTAGAACAATATTTTATATATACAGCTTGTTTTTACACATGAGAAATATCCAACTAATCAAATATATAAATATATCAATTTTATTAATAAAATAATTATTCGTATTTACATAGTAAAATATAATTAAAGATTAATATCTATTTGGTGGAAAATACACAAGTAAGCTAAAACGTATTACAAATAGTTTATTTAAAATTAAATAATTAATATGAAATAGTTTATAATTATTTAATAGTTAACATAATATAAATTTATTATGTTAATGATAGTTTATTAAATATTAAGTACAGTTATTAAAAATAAAATTTCAAGACTATGGAAAGCTATACATGCTGAAATATGCAGCCCAGTGGACAAGGGCTAGTTTGTGCATAGAAGGCTTATGGATTCAACAACATTGATGTCAATTTTTGTTTTTTTTTAAGCTATATTATACAAAGCCAAAAATAATAAAATGTAAAAAGCCAATGTAGAATTAAAATAAATAAAAAATAAAAAAAGCCCATATGACAGGAGGAGAGTAGGTATCAATCTAATAATAAATAATAAGAAAAAAACATTAGCAATTAGAAATCTGCAACTCATAATTTGTTTACAAACAAACTCCTTCCAGCTACATGTTTCACTTTCACCAACGCAAATCCATTCTCTCCCCTTACATCACTTTTTTCTTCTGTCTCTTATTTTGCATGCTTCTATATTCATGCAAAGTCGCACTTTCAGCTACTATTTTAGATTTTGGAGGAAGAAAGCACAGATTTTGAGCTTGAAATGTAAACCTTTTATGGGTTTCAAGAAGAAAGAAGAAAAATCCAGTCCAACCTCTTCTTAAATGAGCTCAACCGCCGGTTTTTGTGGCTAATAGGACCAGAACCAGGTCTGGTTCCCGGTTCAACCAACCGGTCCAATCAAATTTTTATTACCTTGCTTAATAGAATAATGTATATATTCAAAATATTTAAAATAATTTAGAATTAAAAATAAATTCAAATGATGAACTTTATCATCAGTATAATTTGGGATTTATTACATTATATTTTAGCAATATTAAATAATAGTATAAAATACTTTTCTTAGCAAAATGAAGTCAATTTTAAAAAATAAATAAACACCATCTTTCATTTAATCTTTTAACGCCAAAAACCGAGGTGAATGCAAACATTTTGCCAAGTATTCCTTGCACTGATGATTAGTATTCATGCCCACAAAAATATTTAGTATTTCTAAAAGGTTGAAAAATTATAATCTCTGCATTACATTTCCTTTGAAACCTAAGGACTAAATTAAAACTCTAGAATAAATATTTCAAAATTGATGCTCATCAGGTCCAATGAACGAAACAAAGTTCATCTTCAACGCCGCTAAATTTCAAAACCTAAATGTACAACAAAGTGTACAACAAAGTAACATCGATTTTCTTCAACCCTGAGTAACAAAATCATGAAAGCGAGATGCATTAATTCTTTAAAGAATCAGTAGGGTTGCCATCAACAACACCATTTGGATGCTGCATTTTCTTCTTCTTCCTCCGAGAATCAGCAGGGTTGCCATCAACACTGCCGTTTGGATGCTGCATTTTCTTCTTCGTTCCAGAGTCGGCGGGGTTGCCATCAACAGCAATGCCATTTGGACGCTGCATTTTCCTCTTCTTTCCTTTGCCCAGAGACTGCAGCATAGATCATGTAGAAACAAATTTATAGGACGAGGGTGGATTTTGTGAATGCTTAGTCTATGGTGGCATTCACAACAGAGGGAAATAGCAAGGGTAACCCACCCAAACAGAAACAGGAAGAACAGTCAAGAAATAAAGTCATTCATACCTTTCTATTTGAGAGCGTTTTCCTAGAAGCAGCCTTGCGAATGATGCTTTTGTAGTGTTGAGTAAAAGAATTATTACTGCTACGTTTTTCAGCCTATCAAAACAAATAGTTAAACAAGTCAAGTTACAGCAATGACTGGAACCTTGAATCAGGAAGGGAAGAAAACTAAGATTACCTGAAGAAACGATTCGACAGACTGGTGATCCTTTGGTGAGAATGGCACTTCATCTCTTTTCCTTTGCACAAAGTCAACATTCAACTCCACCTAAATTCCTCACAAAAAAGAAGAGTGGGGTAAGACATCGGTTATTCATTCGTTTGCTTAAAAAAAAAGAATGAATTTTTTTGAGTGATATTAACTATTGAATGGTTATGTCTCAAGTAGTTATTAAGAATTAAACAAATTGCATAACAGTAGTGCACACTCATTGCTGGATAGCAAGGGTAGGCTTTCGTGAAAATCACAAAATGGTTGGTATATATGTTATAATTCTCTTAATTTCTGTTTTTTGTATTTTCTTAACTGTGACAAAGACATGTTTTTGCCACCCGTAAAACACTCGAATACTTGCCTATAGCACTAACATTTGAGGGCATTTCTAGGTTTTCCACTTAGAATAACCACTTTGAGCCACATTCCAAAAGCACGCGATATACGACATTTTACATCACTATAGCAGAAGGAATGTATAAAAAAAGATGGCACGACTGGAAGCTAATCATACAAAAAAACATTGCTATTGGGTGCTAATCATACAAAAAGTGTAGTTGTACCTGGTCAATGAAACGCTTGATAACTCGTCTAAAACTCTCATCAGAGGTCCTCTCAACTATCTTTTTAAGGAAGACAAGTGGAGCTGTTGCAAGTTCAGGAAAAGACACATGGTAGCTCCATTGTGCAAAGTGCTGTGAAAGGAGTTCAATGGTAGACGTGACACACTCTTCTTGAAACTCACGTGATTTTAACCAATGCTTCGGAAGCTGCAAAAAATTAAGTGTCAATTAAAACAGTAGAGAAAACAAGGTAATCTGAATGTATTGTGGATTAAGAGGCAAAAAGATATTAGGTAAATAAAAATTCTAGAAATAATTTAAATCTTACCTTTATGGTAGACAAAGGTTCAAACTCAAACACTTTGCCCGGTTTCCCACCATCCTTGGTAATATTGTATTCTAGAAAATCCAGCACTAGTGATGTAACAGGAATGAAAAGCCCACTAGAACCAGCAAGACGATTAAGCCATTGGATACATCTGAGTCTCAGCGGCAAATATCTAGGCCCGGGAAAGAGGAGAACGACTCCATTTATAATTTGAGCAATCATATACAGCAATGGCTGAAGACCATAATCAGGTATGTTTTCTGATATAAATGAAACCCAGAGATCAATGCAATTGATGTACTGCCAACTGCAAATTTTCTTAACCACCTCCTGCCCATAAGATAAAAGGCAAAAATCAGAAAACTTTTTTCAATAAAGTAATACAGAAATACTCTAGATTCTAGATACTTGATCGTGCTATTTAATTCTCTAAAAGACTGAACATGACCTTAAATAAACAAAAAATGGCAATAAATATTAAAATTGTTTAAAGCATACCTTCTTTTTCACTTGCCACCCCTTCAGCAATATCTCACCTAGACGCCTTACGCATATATTTGCTTTATTTGATGACTTCTGCACATCTAAACAACATAACTCCACAAAGGAGTTCCTTAAAAAATGTGTATGTTCAGACGGAGAGCGACTGATGAAGGCCTTATATGTTTTGACAAAGCAGATGTCTAACCAATTAGAGCCACACACAGATGCTATATCGCGTATGATAAGAAAGGAGTGTGATGACAGAGATCTATCACCTGTTGCCCAGAGATCAACACAAATCTGTAATAAATTTGAGTGCAAGGTAAGGAATATTTCACACGGCACAAAATTGACATTGACATTATACACGTCTTAGCCAGGAGACAGGAAAAGCATGAGATCTCAGGTGGACATTAAAACAAAATCATAAATTAAAAGTGGCTGGCTATGACCGCAAATCATAACCACATTTGATCAAAATGGAAAAACGTTGATTTCTCTTTAAATAAGAATTGCAGAGCAGTTCTTAAAATTGACTGTGGAAATAGCAACTTTTAATTAAAAAACAAATAAATAATAATTTCTGATTATTGAGTGGCCGGAAGTTAATGCAGCTACTCATGTTTATTGCAAGATACTTCATGCCAGCAATGAGTAGCTTACAGCAAATACGTAATGCTGGAAATCCAAGCTACTATTATTAGTAGTTAGGAAAATCAAAATATGCGAAACTTTCTCTTATAATATGTCATTGTCATACATAGCATATGATGAATTTCGAGTATATTTTACTGCTGTGAAATCAAAGAATACCTTGAGAAGCTTGTGCAGTAAAGAAGGAAATGCAGCAAGAAAGATTATTGAAGCTCTGAGTTGACAAATTGAGAAGACTAATATCTTGGAGTCGGTGATCTGGTTTAAGAGAAACACAGTACTCCTTAAGTATGCCTTAACAAGTGGTCTAAGAGATAACCATTTAGCCGTATTCTTTATATCCAAAACAGCTTCTTTCTTAGAACTCGAGCTTGATATTCCCAGTAACATCCTAAATATAGTATCAGCCTCATGCAGCATGAACATTAATATTGTGCAGAAAGTTTCACTTGTCTGAATACCGTTGGATAAGATAGTATCACTGACACTGGTTATTTCAGAATCACTATGGCATGCCGCCCTATAAGCATTTACGAGGCAAGTAAGGGCAGGCAGACTACGTTGTTCTTTGACCAGTTTACACAAAGAATCAACAGCTGTATTTGTCAACATTTTACCCACCCGAGCACGTTCATTGTCATCATTCGCTATATCTAATCTTTCGTCATCTGAACCCTGAACCACATAAGAAAAGATGTCAATTTTCATTAACAAAAGTGCTAGTTCGATTGAAAGAAGCTAGGTGTTGCAGTCTAAAACATAGAGAACGTGAAGAAATGTGTATGTAATAAGCCAGAGAAAATTCCGAGTCTCTGACTAGTTAAAATATTGAATTTAATCAGTTGAGAATCAACAAGTACAATGTGAGCTTACACAGGAATTGAGCCTTAAGAGTTAAGAGGCTCAAGGTAACCACAATCTAAATAACAGAATATCTGGATTCAGCATATTCTGTTACTACACAATAATTAACTGCAATGCAGATACATATGCATCTATTCTTCGGCCCTCAATTTTCAAGGTGATGGTTGTAAATCAAACACATAAGCTAGTGGTAGAGAGGGGGCGATGAGTGAGTCTGCCAGTTGATTGATGCAAATGGAGGTAGAAACACAGAAACAAACTTCAGAAGAGTAATGTGATTAATAAATAAAGTAGACTGAAAATGATCCCTAATGATCCACATAAGAAAGCTCCAACTGCTGGATTACAGAGAGGAAAACAGAAACACACAAATGTGTTGCTCAATTAACTATTTTATCATCCCATTATGTCTTTGAGATGAACAAAATAAATCACATTCAAACAGCAAACTTATGACATAACTACATGATGTTTCATCCTATTCTATTTGCTTTATCTTGACAACCAAACAAGCCCTTACTCTATCTATGGTTATTTTGACCTAGTGAACAAATAAGCCCTAAAAAGAAAAGAATATTGAAATGCAACAATCGAAAGCATAAAACATAAGACATTATAAAGTACCAGACAAATTGAATTTCAACAAGGTAAATTATTTAAAAAATATTGAGTAAATTACACTTCTCCCCAAAGAGATGCTTTAAGTACACAATCCTCCGTCTAAGTTAAAAATTAAGCTCCTCTCCTCTTTGACCCCTTCTATTGTAAAAAAGCTTCATATGGATCTTTAATCCCTTTGTGATTCGCAAGTTTCAACACATTTAGTAGCTACCTTTGTAACACCTATTGTATTTGTGGAACATTAAAAGATGAAACGAAGTTTTTTGTGAAGCTTTTGATATTTAGGCATGTCTAATCCAAGATGTTAGAAGGGTGTTAAAATCCCACATCAATTAGGTAGGAATGTGACTAAAATATTGCTTAAAAAAGAAGCTAAACAAGCTCTTGATATTGAGGCACTCAGACACTTGCAAACTCTGTTCAGATGGCGCCTATTGTATTTGTGGAACATTAAAAGATGAAACGAAGTTTTTTGTGAAGCTTTTGATATTTAGGCACTCGGACACTTGCAAACACTGCTTCAGATGTCTAATCCAAGATGTTAGAAGGGTGTGTTAAAATCCCACATCAACTAGGTAGGAATGTGACTAAAATATGGCTTAAAAAAGAAGCTAAACAAGCTCTTGATATTGAGGCACTCGGACACTTGCAAACTCTGTTTCAGATGGCGGACCCAAGATGTTAGAAGGGTGTTTTAAGATCCCACGTCAACTAGGTATGTGACCAAAGTATTGCTTAAAGACTAGGAATTCCATTAGAAAATGTGTAAACGCCATTCTAATGTGAATCATTAGAAGATGTCAATGAATTATTCACCAGGAATTCAAACGTGTAAATTTGCATGCCCTTATTAAAGTCATTAAAATACTCACAGCTTCTTCGTCTGCATCTTGTCCAGTGCCTACATCATAACTTTCCAGAAATTTAGAAAACCCTGGAAACTGTAGATTTCAAGAAGATAAGTCAGATACTAAGAAACATTGAATGGAAAAAACAAAATCAATACTTCATTGATTAGAATTGAACATTGAATGGTAAATTACTATTTTTATACAAATACAATGTTAGAACTGGAAAACAGAATCCCATAATTTACAAAACAGAGAATGTATTATCCATGATTTCCAATGAGAAAGTATACAGAGAATAAAAAATGGGATAGTTAAGGGAATTGGTACTTGAAAAATAACAACAGAGACAAAATCTTTGAAATCAGACAAAACCTTTCAAGATTTTACCCAATTTTATCTGATTTTACCTGATTTTGAAGAAATCAGCTCTAATTTTGTTGCATAGTTTTAATTTTCAACAACTTTAGAAACTTATGAAACTCTTGTTTTTTAGATAGTTTGATACAAGTTTATAAGCATAAAACGATATTATGGTGATGTGATATATTTTTACTTTATAATTAAGTTGAATTTTGAATTATTGATGTATATGCATTCATAGTAGCGTTCCTTCCTAATTGGAAACCAGCTAGCACACTGGAACTTTCCCTGATGCGGCAAATGATTGTAGTAGGGTTTATGGCATTAACCAAGTTGGGATAATTCTCTCTATAGTTACGCCTTTGGATGCTTTCAACTTTCAAGAGAGCACCCAGGCCAAAGGATAAGTATTTATGACACTGCATGAAACTTTCACCTAAAAATTCATTGAAAGTAGACTATAGTAATAACCTAAGTTTCAGTTTCCTGTGAATCTTGTATGTTTTGCTAATTTAAAAAGGGAAATTCGCTAATATGGGATAATTGTTCAGAAGAAATATTGTCAAATAAAATGGTATACATCCCAATAAAATTACGAAGAATGGAAAGAGAAAAAAAAAACTCTCTGCGTTAAGCCGAAAATAAATTTTAAATAATAAAAAATACAATTTTGCTGGAAACCAACCAAGAAAACATAGGATACAAAGAAACCTGCACCTTTTCTTTCAATCTGTTCAACCTCTTTTCTTTCTTCAAAAGTTCTCCAAAAATTTCCTTGTTTTGGACCGATAACGAACTGCCACTGTTGTCATCTGAAAAAACCTTGCATCAAAATCTAATAAAACACATGCAACAAGGGGATGTTGCAATTTAGTTTAAACTAGAAAGCTTCAAATGTCCTTACTCTCAATATAATTTTCATTTTCATCGTCACTTCCAGTAACATGTGCACAGCTAGAGTCCTGTCCATATACTCAAAAATCAATATACTCTAAACCTAATGAAAAATCAAAGAGTAAACGAAATTTGGTTGCTAAAAGCGAGTCCTCGTCCCTATAGTCCCTAAATATATCAAAATTACAAAAACAATTATCCATGAATTAACATTCAAACCTCTGAAAGATATCCATCACTATCTGAACCATCAAGCACCTCACGTTCATCATCACTGAAAACAGTATCAAGTGAAATATCTACAACCTCTTCAACAACAGTGTTGTTTGAAGGATTTGTAACAGCATCAGCCTCTTGAACTTCTTCAACATCGTGACTAACACCTGTTACAATCAACAATAGAAATTCAAATTGATTCAGCAAAAAGGATGCATAAATTTTAGTATCATATTCAAGGTCAGTATGATACCTTTTGAAGCTTTTCTTTTGAACTTGGATTTTAACTTTCTTTCGTTCCTCGAAACTGATTGTAGGTTTTTTTTGGCAAACTTTCGTGCTTTCTTCCCTAATTTCCCCATTGTGTGGTTTTAAGGAGTGGGGAAATTATTACAAGATAGAATGAGATTCAACAACTTCTGAGCGAGCGAAAATGCCAAAGGGAAGCTCTGGGATTTTGTTAATTTTAGGGTTTTAGGGTTTTAAAAAAAAATTAAAAAAGTTTTTACTTTTGGGCCTGTTAAAAAAACTGGACTGGGCTTTGAATTAGACTCGTGGCAATTTCTCATGAGAATTTCTTAACACACCCTTATGTCTTCTTAGAGGTCATTGGCGAAAAGTCAAAAATATTCTCAGAATTCGAATATGCATATCTGAACTCATCACATTACATATTTAGAGAGGCTTATTCGGATATGCATGTCTGAAACAAACTTTATGTCAAGATCAGGGGGATTTCGCATGTGCATCTCTGAATAAACCCCGTAATTTAATTTCAGGGGTTTTTTAGAGATGCATATCCAAAACGTGTTAAATACATTTTGATTCGGAACAGAATCCCTCATTCTCTCTTTTGTCTACACCCAAACACTCAAATTCTCTATTTTTCAAACTTTTTTGAGCAAGTTACTGAAGCATCTTAGAAAATTTCCCTGAGACTTTCAAGAATCAGATCTCATTTCAACTCATTTCAACAACTCTCCAAAGGTTCGAATTTGAGTAAGTTTCTCTGAATCCATTGTTTTACTTTGCATGTGTATAATAAGTTATTTAAAATCATTTAAATTCAGTAGGTTGAAGTATAACTTGTAAAATATGGTTGTTTGGATGTGAAAATGAAGTTTTTGGGTGATTTAGGTTAAAGGTACGAAAATAGTGTCGCAGGTGTTTTCAGATGTGCTTCAGTTTTTGGGTCATCTTTCCACTTTTTATTGTGGAGATGACGATCACACTTGACGATGATGCATGCCTGATACACCTTCCTATCAGAGAGAGGATACTTAACCACTCTCAGATATCTCGTGTTGAATCGATTGAATGGATGGTCGAGTATCTAGGAGCTCAACCAAAAAAGGCAAATGAGCAGTGTTCCTCAACTAATAGGGCTCGTGTCAAGTTCCCATTCCCTAGTGACTTATATGCAGAGCACCTGGTTGCAACAGCATCTTCCGAGAGCGAGGGCAATGAGTACTTTGTTCGGTAACACCGCGAGTGTGCTTTGCGGTGTTACATCATGTTCTTGGTTAACACTGTAACACCTCACTTTCCTTTTTCTAATTAAATCGATAAATAACTAGGATTTCAAATAAAATAGTTTTGTAGACAAATCTGAGTACTCGTTAGTGGGATGTCACATCCTCAAATAAAACAAAATCATAGAAGTATTATTTCACTTCATAGCATATTATCTCATTTGATTGAATTAAACAGCGGAAATATTTTTCAAATGATTCACATTTCACCTTCAATGCTCCAAATCAAATAAACTCCCACTCTTCGGTGGTTCAACATGATTTTGAAAGTAAAGATACGTAATAACAATTCAAAATAAACAACATAGAACTAAATTCTCATCATGATGTTATGTATCAGATCAACTCTTACGACTCAATCCAAAAGCAACACAAGCATCCAAGAACTATTTAGGTATCTAATTATCTGTACTCCCCAAGGAGCACAGACGCAATAACAGAAAAGGGTGAGAATTACATTCAATAATTTAAATGGTGATAAATCGCATGCTAAGGAGTATTAAATGAATACACATACAATCACATGGTTACAATGCACACTCAATTATTACAAATACAAACCAGCATTATCATTATGCATAGCTCATCACAGTATGAAATATGACTTCATGGACTTTACGCCATGCATGCGGTACCAACACAACCAATATGGTTCATTCATATGAGCCTGATTCCCGTTGGAATCTAGATAAGCCAATCATGTTCCCTTGAATTTGACTTATCTCCACTCGACTCTCTTCAAGAGTCCGGACGAGACTAGGCACCCAAGAAGAATTCCCACTTAGGATCATCTGATCACAACACAACACAGTGAATGCATGACATACATAGGCACATATATAATATGCACAAACCTCACAAATATTATTTCATAACATATGACCCTCGTGATCACCCGTGAGTCAGATACTCATCACGATTCCTTCTGAATCACCGATATTCCTCGTGAATGTCCATACAATCACAAGCTAATACAAAGGCATCAAAAGAATTCACAACAAAGAATAGTTCATCATTATCATAAAAACATCATTGGAAGCATACATCATTATCACAATGACACCATATCATCATAAAGAAAACACCCATTAAGTTGTATCAAGACACGATCACGTCAATTCATAGCAAAGAGCATACTTTCTATGTTAATGCTACATAGTTTATCACTTAATCCTAATGCAAGCACTATAAAAATATATGATATGAATCATTTTATTCTTCAAATTTATATTTCATTTCATTAGCTCTCCAATGTTTCAAACGACGCATCAAACGGAGTTCGGAAACTCAAGTTATGGCCTTTAGAAAAATCTGTCAAAATTTTGATGTCACTCGGAACTGCTCAGGTCAACCCCCCTGTGCTCAGGTCAATGCATCGGTAAAATTTGAGGAATTCTATTTGCCTCGGGTGTGCTCAGGTCGACCCCCCCCCCCCTGTGCTCAAGTCAACTCATGTTATTTTGTGCTGAATTTTTCTACTACATTGTATTTCTCATGGCTGCGAATTTCTACATTAACATCGACCCTATTCCACTCAAATCCAACACAATATAGCCTCAAAAATCCTAATTTTAAGCATTCTAACATAGGCCTTTACTATTTCTACTAATAATACGTTCTATTACCAATTTCGTTATCAATTCTAAGAATTACAACCCAATACCTAAGGGAAACCTATGTTCTCTAATATATTCTTTTTAAGGTTTTTCCCCATAGCAATCCATAATGATCAAGAATCTGATATCACAATTATCATAATTATTCCAACACAATTCAATGCAAATGAAATGACAATATTTATCTTCATAATTAAACGAAACACACAAGGAATACAAAATTAAGAAACCCTGAGAGGGAAAGGAACCCTCACTGCCCTCTCATGCTATAATCACCAAATTAGAGAACCCATTCTCCTCCCTTACCTTGATTTTCCAAAGCTTTCCTCTAACAATGGTAGAACTTGTTGTTTTTTTATGCGCCTAAGACAGTGCTGAATAAAGTGAATTGTAGATTTTTATTTTTTTATGCGATGATGTTCTTATTTTCTGGTTTGTGTATGAATATGAAAGCGGTAAATGTAGGAAAAATATATAACACTTGATATATCTTGGTTCCCCTCATAGTTCGAGAGTACTCCAGTCCCCTTTCAACGAAAGAAATTTCACTATAGTTAGAATTATTGTACATCTTATCCACACCAAGTGTGATGCTTACTATCTAACCTATAGGGAGGTCAGATGCTCTTAAAACCTTTAAGATCTAAACACTAAGTGCAAGAAGAACAACCATCTTCAATGAACACACTTGTTTTCAACAATCTTGAAAACAAGGTTACCAATACAAAGTAAAAAGAGAACAATCCTCCATTAATATTCTCTTGCTTCCAACAATCCTGGACAACAAGGTTACACCATAATAACTTTGAAAAAATGATTAGAAACAAATTCTTGAAGTAGATATGGAAGTTTATAATCAATGACAATACCAAGTATTGATCTATTATCTTTCAAGACAACAACTCAATGAATATATTACACAAGTGCTCAATGCATATGATGAAACTTTTCTAATGATGTATTTGAAAATGTAAAAGTAAAAGTTTCATGCAAGATCAGAATATTAATCAATGCACTTATTTGACAATGAGATACAAAACATTGTATTGTATGTTGTGATTATTGTTGTTGTTGTTTGCTTAATTTGCATCAGAAATAAAAATGAAATTTATACGTGTAATGCACCATTTCAAAAGGTTCTAAATGCATGGAAGAGTGTAATGGTTCATGCCCAAAAGTTTCAATCCAACAACCATCATAACAGAATTATTTTTCAAAAATGTTTCAGCGGTAGCCGGTTACAGGTATACATTAACTTGTTACCCAATCTCTGTAACATTCGGAAATTTCAAAAATGTGAAGCTTTAGTCGGTTACCAGAAGACAGTAACTGGTTACCACTGAATGAAAATTGTTTGCCAGTAACCATTAATTGGTTACCATTGTTATGGGAAGTGAAAAAACATTTCAAAAGACTTGGAAATGCAATGTTAGTGATCTTAAAACCATAAAATGTGTATGCAAAATATTTAGACATATTTTGAGCATTATAGTAACATACTATATTGAATTGGAGTCTTGTACCATATTGAGAATCAAATATCAAAATCTTCTTTAAGAGTAACTTAACATGCAAGCCAAAGCTCTATTTTAAGTAGATACTTTTTCTTCTTCTTCTTTTTGATAATGCATTTTGCCTTGATCATTATATTTGTAATCATCAAAATATAAACTTGTTGAATCATGACTTTACATTCTCCCCCTTTTTGATAATGACAAACACTTGTTAAGTGAAACACTTTGGATCGCTTGAAAATGCAATAAGCTCCCCCTATCAATGATAACCCCCCCTTGATCAATGTTTCTCCTTGATCAATAGAGTATGTTGACAATTTTTGTAAGAGATAGAGACAAAGCATACACATATATCTTCTCCCCCTTTGTCATTAGAAAAAAGGAAGGGAAAAAAGAAACAAAATAATATCATAATAAAAATAGAAGAATAGCATGATATTAGTTGACTTATCCTTTAGAATATTTTATCTTAATCCTTTATCATGGATTATTTTCTTCGTTAGATATGAAAGTTAGTGCTTATCTTTTCCTTGCCAAGAATCTTTCATTTGATGTTGTCCTCATATGTGACACAACCCTTGGCCTATTATATTTGAAAATTTGCTTATACCTTCCATCGTATGCTTGGATCAACCACTTATAAAGATATCAAAGATTTTGAACTAGTCTTCAAGCAAACCTACAAAACAATTTAAGTTTT